GTCTCCCCGCAGCCTTCTCTTCTCCAGGCTGAACAAGCCCAACTCTCTCAGCCTGTCCTCATAGGAGAGGTGCTCCAGCCCTCGGATCATTTTTGTAGCCCTCCTTTGGACCCGCTCCAACAGTTCCATGTCCTTCTTTTGCTGAGGGCTCCAGAGCTGAACACAGTACTCCAGGTGAGGTCTCACCAGAGCAGAGTAGAGGGGCAGAATCACCTCTCTCAACCTGCTGGCCACGCTTCTCCTGATGCAGCCCAGGACACAGTTGGCCCTCTGGGCTGCCAGCGCACATAGCTGGCTCATGTCCAGCTTTTCGTCTATCAGTACCCCCAGGTCCCTCTCAGCAGGGCTGCTCTCGATCCTTTCATCCCCCAGCCTGTATTGATAGCAGGGATTACCCTGACCCAGGTGTAGGACCTTGCACTTGGCCTTGTTGAACCTCATGAGATTCACACAGGCCCACCTCTCCAGCTTGTCCAGGTCCCTCTGGATGGCATCCCGTCCTTCTGGTGTCTCGACTGTACCACTCAGGTTGGTGTCATCTGCAGACTTGCTGAGGGTACACTCAATGTCGCTGTCCAAGTCATTGATAAATATATTGAACAGCAATATATATATATATATATCTCGTAGCTGTCCTGCTGTACAATGGCTTCCAGCTCCTCCTGTTTATTGCCCATGCTGCGTGCATTGGTGTAGATGCACTTTGAGCTGGGCTGTTGATCTCACCCCTCACACTGGCATGCCACGCCTGGGCTCATCTCTAGTGAGGTGGGCGATGTCCCCTTCCCCCTTCGAATCTAGTTTGCATTACAAACTTATGGTGATTGTCACCCTAATTACCTTCTACCTGAATGTTTGGTGTGTTTTGTGGGTTTTTTTCCCCACTGATTCTTCCTTATTGCTCAGAACCAAACCTAAAATGACCTTTTTCCATAGGGGTGTCACCTGGTTTTGGGGAGGGGGACGCTGTCACTTACACCCTTCAAGAATTTAATAGGGAATTCCATTCCGCTGCTTCATAGGCATCCAGCTAAAATCTTTGGTCTTCCTTTAAAGTTTGTTCAGAACAACTTCATCTGTTTCCTGCTCTGGTGGCTAGAGCCATTTATCATGACATCATCCTCTGCCTTGAATGTGTTATAGTTGTATGTATGTATACCTCTGTATGTATCCATAAAGTGTCTATGTAAATATAGAGAGAGGGCAAGACTTTTGTTCTCTCCCCTCTTGTCCAGACCTACTTCTTCCACAGTTGAGTGTTTCATCTGAAACGCTTCATATTAATCTTGAAATTTATTTCAATCAGGCTGAAACGGTTTGGTTTCTAAAAGTGAAGTAGTTAAAACTTTGGCTAATAAAACTTTGTATTTGATTTCAGCATGAAAAGGTGGCTGTCCTCTGGAACTTGTTACTACCAGTAATTGCTTTTTGTTCTTCAGTTTTCAAGAACTGAGTTGTGTATGTAATTGTTCTTAGGCAACCAAAGGACTGGGAAAATTGAACTTTTGGGACAATTGTAATAACAAATGCTCATCAGTATCTCAGTCCCAAATGTCTTTTCAAATATGAAGCAATTGTTTTGTTTCAGTGCATATGCTTCCTTGCAGACTTACAGAACCTGTTTATGATTCGCAATTTAGTAAAATTTGACAACTTTTGTGTGTGGTGTTAAATCCAATTTACATACAAACTGATGAGAGTTCTACTTACTGGGTGACTCGTGAACTAAGTTAAGTTGCTTTGAACTTTTGTAGGGTAAAACAGCATGCTAAACTTACTTGTGTTTGTCAGTCAAGATCATAGTTGTGCATTGGTCATTGAAATAAACCATTTAAGAAGTGGTCTTTCAGCCTTTGCTTCCTTCAGCTTCTACATCAAAGAAAGGGGAGTGTGTGTCTTCTAGTCAATGCCTTACAGCTGATAAGGCAAAGATTTGAGGATTGATAGGGTTTACAAGCAGTGGCTTATCATTGTTCTGATACCACTCTGTCATTTGTGAACTGGAATTAGCTTGGATCCATACAGCTGAAAACACAGATGGAGCAAGTATGTGTTTGCTTTTATTTCTGTGTGGACATGTTCCAGTCAAACTAGAAGAGTAATGGTGATCACCAGCAAAAGGAGCAAATGACTGCTAATCTTTACACTCAGCCAAATGAAGAAGCAGCCATCCATAGCAATGTAGCGCTCTTGTCTGCATTTTTATTTTTTAGAATCGTTGATAGATCTCTGTGCTTTCAGGAGTACTATTGTTGCTTCCTTTGATTTAGTGTAGCTTCACCACAGTATGTTAACCTTGGATGTGTGTGATTCAAAGAGAGATCAGGATGCTGGAAACCTTCCTTTTTGCTGTGAAGTAATGTAGTTACTCATCCCTCTCTCATCAGTCTGTTATAGTGAGAAGAACTAGATGCATCTTGGATAAATTCTATACGTGTTTATGATTCAGGCTAACATGCTGGCTGAAGGTTTGTGATTGGAAATTTGGAGACTGAGCAGCAATAAATTAAAAAGAATGCCGGTCTCGTGTGTTGGCAGTGCCATCAGGGACTGGCTTCTCTGCTCAGGTAAAATCTAAAAACAGATGTAAATATAAAAGCAGGACAGCAGGCAATATACTGGTTAAGTACTTTTGACTAGTACATACCTTTCCTAAATAGCCATCTTTTATTTCAGGCAAAAGAGAATATCATCTTGGAATTCCCTGTGTACTGAAACTCTGTTTTTCCAGCCTGCTCTACTCATACAAAGTGTCAAGTTCTGAAGTGTGAATGAACATCAAAGGCAAATTCTCATCTGATGATGCATTAGTTCTGAAATAAGATGCTTGAGAGGAAAACTGCTATGCTGAAGTAGACTTTACAGTCTTGGAATATTTGACATAACTAAAATTACAAGTGGAAGACTTCAGTATTTACAGGCCTAAAATATTTTGTCACGGGCATACATTTTTCAAAATTTTGTGAAACTTTAATTTGATTGATTCATTGGAGTTTTTTTACTGCAGATGTTAAAGAATTTTTGACCAGTTTTCCCTGTGTGTGAACACTCTTCCAAAGTATCAAGTTTGTAAACGGGTTTGAGAATAATTGCTTTTGTAAATGCTTAGTGCCATCACTGTGGTGGTATTGGTAATCTTCAGCAGAACAGTTTTAGTATAATGCACTAGTTATCTATTATATGCAGTGTATATATATGTTAATGAAAAGCAGTAGCTTTACACCCCCCCCCTTTTTTTTTTACTAGATGTGAAATACTGCTTTTACAAACTTATGCGGGGTCAGTATTTAATGCAACTTGTGTGTATGCACTTTTCTAGCTGAATTTGCTCATATGGTCAAACTATTAATTGAAATACAAGAAGAAATACCTGCCACTAGAATTACGTTGGTGAGAGTTGAGGCTGCGGGTTTGTCCGCTTTCCAGGGATTTTGGTTTGTGTCAGTGGAAACCACCCCTCACTACCACCAAGATCATGTGCTAGGAGGACGTTTTGCCAAGCACTCTTCCAAAGCCTCTTCCATAAACTGACAAAAGCAGTTTTGTCATCATATTTGTATCGGTGATCTCATGTGAGTTTCTCCTCTGTGCTGGCAAAACCATGCCCTGAAGCTTAGACACAGTGTGTTCTGCTAGTATGTAAAAGATTAAATGTTGGTTTCTTAATACTCAACATGTAGCATATGGAACATAACATTTTTTTTCTGTTCTTTTCCAGTTTAGGCCTAATATCAGATTCTTTTCATATGTTTTTTGACTGTACTGCTCTATTGGCTGGATTAGCAGCTTCAGTTATTTCAAAATGGAGGTCAAATGATGCTTTCTCATATGGGTAAGAAACTTCAAGCTGTTACCTTAACGTATTTTAGTAAATGTCTAAGTGGTAATTTTTCACTGTATGAACAAAACCTCCTTTTGTAGAACATAAGAAAAGCTATATTGAAAGTGTGGGGTTTTAAGGTGAGTTATGTAAACGTTTAAGTTAATATCCCCCTAGAAACAGTAAACATGTGAAGCCATTGGTTTAGGGGAGCAAGTTTATCAGTTCTAAGATCTCTGTGATCATACTAGTGGAAACAAGTTACACAGCAGAAAGTTGCCCTGCGTTGTCTTGTGTTCATGGCACCGGTGAAGCAAGAGCAGCTGTTTCATGGGTTTGTCCTCACAGTGCAGTGAGACACGTTACAGGGAATCTCAGACTGCTGGTGCCGCGTGCCTGCTTTGGAACAGAAAGTTACAACGGAAAGGACCTAAGTCTCAGTGATGCTGCACCTGAGATTATAAACCACACTTCTTGGAACCAGCAGGGTTAAAGAGCCGTGGCTACCATTAACAGAGATCCTCAAGGCTGAGGTATGTCATCCCATACTGCCCTTCACAGATAGAGCTGCTGCAGCTGGTTCTGTTTCAAGGGCACTTGGTTCCACTGTACATTGCAGTTGTGCCCTGTAAAACAATACTGGTGATACAATATAATTAATTGGTGATACCGATTAATTAACAGCAAATGAGCTGTAACATGGGTTGCTGCATTCCCCATGGCATTACTGACCTGAATGTTGGCATTTAGCTTCAGCTGACTTGCCTAAGCATGGATTATGTAGTTTGAAAGTTAAAGCACTGTTTAATTAAGGTGGATACTCCAGTGTGCCTAGAAATCAATTTAGGAAGAATTGATTGTACCATGAACTAATTGCAATGAAAGCAGGTTCTTTATTAATTACTGCTCTGCATTGAAACAGCTGGTGTTCCATTTATTAGAGAACAGCCACAATTTATCAAGTCTGATGTTTGGTACATTGGAATTAGATGTTATTCTAACCTGGCTGGTTTTTATTGGAAAAAAATAGTAGCTGAAATAATTAATTTCTACTTAAAACTTTTACTAAAAGTTCTCCTACTAGAGGGGGAGAAAATGAATGTATGGCTGTTTGTTAAACAGAGCAGACTTCAATTACATCTTGCATACTTATCTTACTTTGTGGCTTCCAAATACTCATTTATGCCATAACTTCCAATAGAGATTATCTTAAATGGGAAGATTCTGATGTATTGAAAGTTTTCTTTCATCTAGAGCAGCTAATTTCTGTCAAAATACAACATAGTCAATTTCATGTACTTATCTGTAGTTTATGTACTGCCACTTCCATTTAGCAAATCCTTATGTAATACAATGGTTTGAGAACTAGAAGATTGTACTATAGTCTCTAAGTTCCACTTTCAATTTTCAGCATTTAAATTAAGGTGGTAATATTTGCTGTTGCTTTTTTGTTTCTTGCAGGTATGTTCGAGCAGAAGTACTTGCTGGTTTTGTAAATGGTTTATTCCTCATCTTTACAGCATTCTTCATTTTTTCGGAAGGTGTTGAGGTACGTTATAAAGTCAATTGCACTCTCAATTGTCACATTTCTATTTGTAGAACATATTTAATGGGGATAAAATTATTGACATTTATTTTGTCCATAATTGGCTAAAAATCTGTGATCTGAAAGAGAACAGGGCATCTGAAATTGCTGGTTTGTGACACAGAAACCCAGCTTTTTCAGTGTATCTGTACTAACTTCTTAAATAGTGCATTTTGATTGTGTGTAAAAATTCTGTGAGATTCACCCTGTCCTTTTTTTCAGCCAGTTATTATGTCATAGAAAGATCTTTGCTTCTCATTGTTAAAGGACAAATGAGTCCAAGAAAGAAAGGCCATTCGGAGGAGAGAAGTTAGTCATAAGAAATGGAAATACTTTCTGTGAAGACGCTAGACTAACTCATTAAAGAAAGAGCATTATCTTAGAAATCTTGAAGTCTGATATAAATGGCAAGTAGTAATAGCTTTAACATTTACAAGGGTACTTTTCTTGAATTTTTTTTATAAGATGGTTCAGGTGATAATTTCAAGATGAAAATTTAGAAATCAAGGGTGTCTGCACTGGAGTGAGGTAGGATTAAGAGTAAAATTTATAACTGATTCAGATCAACTTGCATTACTGCTTTTACTTTTTAATGGGACATGCACTATAAATTTGTTTAGACTTCTAGTTCAGAATACATTCTAGTGCTTTATTTTTAATTAATAGAGAACTGGGAAGAGCTTTCAGGAACATATCTTCTACATAGATAATCCTTTAAATAATTCAAAATCAGTACAAACTGGGCTGAAATTGCCTACAAACTGGGGAAAACTTTACTCCAAATCTAGAAACAGCAACAAAACTTACTAGAGAAATTAAAAACGACTACTGGAAGGGTCAAGGGTAATGTTGAAACATAATTCTTTTCCTGCTGGTCTTAGCTCCCATGCTAAGTGTTCTCTTTGCTTGTGATGGTGACTTCTTTTCTCTCTGTCACTTCAAAATTTTACATCTGCTGAAAGTTTCATTGTCTTGCTGTTGTCTGTACTTTTCATCCCTGTTGACAAATGGTGAATGTTTCTCCTGTCAATGGTAATTTACCCTCTTCAACACTTAGCTTCAGATGCAAATTGTGTTAGGCGTATAATGTCTCACCGAAAAAAACCTTCCAATGAAAATAGGATAACAAAGAATTAAAAAAAAATAAAAAAATCTAGGTTTTCAAAGTTTTGAAAAATGCCAGAATTTGTTCTCAGTCTTATTTTCATTCCCCTCATCCCCTCACCATTCTAAGGAGAAAGGAAGAAATGGCATTCTGGTCTCCTGGAACTTGTTTGGATGACTTGGTTAATCCATGTATTGCAGCAAACTTGAATGTTGTCATATGATGAGCCACATTTCAAAGCATAATGAAATCTTGTGATAAAAGTTACCTACACTGTCCGAATATTCTACTATACTTGCACAGCTTTAATTATAAAATTCAGACGGTAAGAACTGGTCTGTGTACCATTGCAAAAACTGAAAGTCCCGAGTAATTTCTAATTATGTGTTTATTATATGCATATTTGTATGAGAATGCTCCTGTATCTAAGCAGTTTTTTCAGTGCCTTTTAATAATGTAAAGCAATTTTAAAACTCTACATTTGCTTCTTGGGGTTTTTTTGTTTGTTTTTTAGAGAGCACTTGAGCCTCCTGATGTGCATCATGAGAGACTTCTTCCTGTTTCTATACTAGGATTCATTGTAAATCTTATAGGAATATTTGTTTTTCAACATGGAGGTCATGGGCATTCACATGGCTCTGGTAGGATGTCTGTAATTTACAGTACTGTTTCCTTTCTTGGCACCCTGTGTTCCAGGACCTTATAATTCTCCAGTGAGAACCCCAGGATTAACTTTTAATGTCTTTTTAGTGGCAGTCCTTGCCAAAAGTATGTGACTTGTTGCAATATTGACTTATGTTTTATCACTAGCCCTAGTATGTCACTACTGTACTTCTCATGTTAATATCCGTTCAGTGGAAGACCTAGAACTCCAGAATCTACTTTCAGGAACATGCACTCTTCTGCACCTTACTGGAAGAGATTTGCAAAACGTCTTTTGGACAGAATTAAGTTGGAGTTAAGCAGGTTCTTGGCTGGAAAATTTACAAAACAGTTTCTGAACCAAATTTCAAGTATGGGATGATTCAGCTTCAAGTGCTTCTCAACTTAGAGTTTTTTGAATTTAAGTGCAGAATTGATTTGCCTAAATATATGGTAAACTTTTTTTTTTCTGCAAAGCTAATTGGTATCTTTTTCAGCTTAACATATAAACTGATATAGACTGGTGGAAGAACATAGTCATTGGTCTTTAAGCAGAAGTTTAAGCTTGAATTCTTCATGTGATAGCAAATTTCTGGTTTCTTAAAACAGCTATTTTTAATGTGCTTGTATCTAAGTATGTGTACATTTTTCAAATTGTACTAGAAGTGTAGCACAGCTAGTCTCAGAAGTGGGAATGTATAAAAGCTCTTGACTTCTGAAACCAGATATATATTTTATATGGCTGCACAGCACAGATTTAGATGACAAACAGCTTGTGTTCATTTTCTTAACTTATTTAAAGCCATACCTTAAGATGACCTGAAAGATGAATAGGTTTTGAGTAGCTTAGAAACAAATGTAAGCATACTAACACATAAATTTATACACTGATGGTGATATTTATTTATAGGGCATGAACACAGCCATTCTCTGTTTAATGGTGGACTCAGTCATGGAGGTCATGGTCACAGTCATGGACATAAACATGCCCACCATGGACATAGTCATGGTCATGGCCATAGCCATGGACACTCTCACAGTCAGGATTATTGTCATGGTAAGTACTTAGTTAATGTTATAGGCCATCTTGATTCAATTTAAATTTGCTATTAATGATTTACTGGAAAAAAAAAAAGACAGTGCTGGCAGCTTGGTGCGAGCATGTGTAGAAGCAATTTCACTGAATGTGTGGTATGCTATGCTACAGGCATGTTTTGTGGCTCATTTTGGTAAATGCTGTTTCAGTTGCAGTAAGTTTAGTGTTAGTTTTTAAATGTTTTGCTTTACCAACATTTTTTGAATGTTCACTGTAAAGTTGTGTGTTGGCAAAAGATAAAACAGATGTATGTTATAATAATAAAATTTAGTTATCAAGTGCTCTGTTTCAATTTTTTATTGAAGTCAAAAGACAAAGTTAAGCTGCTTTGCTAGTGTTCTCTATTTGAATAATTTTACAGATCAAGATACTCAAATAATGAGCAAGCAATTTTACTTTAGGTATTTAGGTCCTTGGTTTGTGATCTCAAATACTTGTGTAGTTGTAATGTGTTTTAAAGCTGGTTATGAAAAAGGTACTTGGTACCTTAGCTATGCCTAAATCTTTTCTATAAAGGCAAACAAATCTGTGAAGACATCCATGCAAAATGTGATCAGTAGCCTTCACTATGGGAGAAGGGACAGTGTGGCTACTACCTATTTGAAACAATGCAAAGGAAAGCCTTACTCTAACGCAGGGTTGTCAATCCGTCCCACCTAAGCCATAAACTACAATCTGATGTGACTGAAGATGTGCACATTCAGAGTGGGGAATAGTGTGGTAACTTGTACACTGCAGGTGACAAAAACTATTAAAATATTTACTTGTCCCTTCCTTGCTATTTTTAGTAGACAATCCGTGCTTATTTTCTAACTGTTCTTCTGGAGTTTGGTTGGAAAGCAGGAGTTCCCACCTCCTTTCTTTTCCTTGCTCTCCCCATGCCCCCCACCCCAGTGGAACAGTGAACGTAATGTTTTGTTCAATTTGATATTCAAGTCAACTTTTGCATAAACTATTAATCTTCACTGGAAGTAATTTGCTATCCTTTAACAATTTTTTCTTAAAATATCTTTATGATGTGTTCCACAGAGGCATTAATCTGCTTGAGTGAGAGAGCTTTTTGACTTAGTTCTACATTCTTAAAATCTTATCCTTGTTGTTTTATATTAGGTATAAATGCTTGCTTAAGTGAAATATTTCTGGTTATCAAAATTCTTTGACCTTACTCTTCTTGTTTGTGTGTATGGCTTGTAAGTCTTGAGGAGGGCCTTATTTGCTAAATACTAGAAAGGTCCCGTTTCTCAGTTTGTTTTCATTAAAAACCAAATGTTGATCACTATAACTTTGTATGTATATATATAAAATATATTGTGTGAAGTGGTATTTTCTTTTTAAAAAGTATGTGTTTAAGACTTCTAACTAAATTGCTGCATTAAAAACCAATAGCTAGAGTAAAAGCTAGTCATAGTGAGCATCTTGTCTGTTAAAGATATTTCCGAAAGGAAGACCGTAACAGAATATACCACTAGAGAGCACCTTTGTGTAGGTTAATATGCTAATAATTGTCTTCGCAGATGACCATTCTCTTGAAGGGATGGCTGGATCCAGCAAACAGATTTTACAAGGTATGATGAGAATAAGTATAGTGGCTTATTAGTTTTATCATGGTCTGCCTGCCTGCCTGTGACTGTCACACATCTGTTTTAGAGGGTGACTCTGGGTAAATACTACTTTTTTCTTAACAGAGCTATATTATGAAGTCTCCTTCCACCTGTAAACACAGCAGTGCCATAGCCTGTGCATGGCTAGGCGTTCAGACATTCACTGAAGTCTAATGCAGTGTCAACACAGGTTGAAAGGGAGATCCCAAAAGCTGGAATTCAGCTACTGTTACTGATGCTGAAAAATCAAATAAAAATCTGTGAAAGAGTGGTTAAAAGCAGAAACCTAAGGAGCCTATTTGCACCGTATGCTCTGGAAAGTGAAAAACAGTATTATTAAGATATAATGTATTTGAAAAATGGAGATTGATATAATTGTTAAAGGGTACCTGAGGTTAAAATTTGCATTTCATCAAGCTGTTACAGTTGGTTTAGACAAGATAGTAATTCACTCTAACTTGCTTGGAGGAGTATTGGAGCCCGTGATCTCCTGAGCATTAGTATAAACAAATTACTGATAATTTAGATGTCAGTTTTGAGCTTTTTTTTTTTTTGAAGTGTTCAAAAGTTGGAGGGAGAGAAAATTATGTAATTTAACATGTTGTAATTATTTGTCATATCCAAATGTACGTGCTGTTTTCTGTTACTGGATGATTTTCTGGCTTGTTTGTAGTCCTTGAAGAGGAACATTGTCAACCTCTTTGAGAGCTTATAGTATACCGTACTATGTATATGTATACTCAGTACTTCAGTAGAAGATATTTGAAAATCAGTATTTCATGAAAGGCACTTTTTAATTGAAGCATATTAAAATAACTCAATTTTATAGAATTTTACTTTAATTTTTCAATACTGTGGTGGGTTGGCTCTAGCCAGTGCAACTGAGCACATGGCAGCTGCTTGCTCATTCCTGCAGTGAGGCAGGGAAGAGAATTAGAAGGATAAAAGCGAGAACTACTCTTGGATTGAGGTAAAGACAGTTTAGTAAGTGAAGGGGAAAAATAAGTGCCCCCAGAAAAACCCAAGTGATGCAAAGACAATCACTTACCACCTCCCACCAGCAGATCAATGCCCAGGAAGTCTCTGAGCAGCAGCTATTTTGGAAAGACAACACATCAGTTTTACTGCTGAGCATGATGTTATATGGTATGGAATATACCTCTGGTCCGTTTGAGTCAGCTGTCCTGTCTGTGTGCAATCCCAGTGTCTTGCCCACCCCAGCCTACTTGCTGTGGGGGCAGAGTGAGAAACGGAAGGCCTTAATACTGTGCAAGCACTGTTTGTCAATAGCTAAAACATTGGCTTGTTATCGACAGTCACAAATCCAAAGCATGGCACCATACAGGCTGCTGTGAAGAAAATTAAATTAATCCCAGCCAGACCCAGTACAAATGTAGACTTGGAACAATCACTAAAGAGCTGATTTATAGTTGTGTGTTGTTTTTGTGAGGAGAGATTATCTGAGTCTGGACAATTGCATTCAAAAAGCTGTTTCTGAATGACTGTTCCCATCATTGCCAGCAGAGAGCTCCAAAGGCCAAATTTTAGCTAGCTACAAAGCACTTATTTCTTTGTCTTTTAAAGTAGAGTGTTATTCTTCAAAATAAAAATGAAGTTGTTCATGTCTGCAGTATTGTTTAATTCTCAAAATAATTTGTCTTGGATTTTTTTGCTACATAACTTCTACAAGATACTGTAAATGAAACATTAGCGTCTTTCAGAGCTTTACAGGGCTATTTCAGTTAACAGTCTTACCATCTTATACAGTACTTAATATTGTCTTTAGGCATCAGGGAACACAAGTTTCCTTACTGTAATATGGGTTGGTATTGAATAAAAAAAATGTAGCTATATCTGTTACTCACTGCTTAAGTTGATAGCCATGCCATGAAATACCCCTTACTGCTAAGTGCAGAAAATAATGCAAATTGTTCAAATGCTCTATATTCTACAAATGTGTCTAAATCCTGTGATCGCTTCCTGCATGTTTGACTAAAAATTGACCACAGATTTAACAACCATAGATCATGTTATCTAGTTCTTCTAGTTCTTTTCTCCATAAACTGTCCTTGAAATGCTCCATTAGCTTTAAGAATACCAAGTTGTAATGAAATCAATTAATCTCTTACAGGTGTATTTCTACACATTGTTGCAGACACTCTTGGAAGTATTGGTGTAATCATATCTGCTATATTGATGCAGAACTATGGTCTGATGATAGCAGATCCTATTTGTTCAATGCTGATAGCACTACTTATAGGTGTAAGGTAAGCATTGCTATCACTGATATTTGGTGGTATTTCTGATGCTAGTTACACACAAATTACAGCTCAGAAGAAGAGGTTTGTTACGGTAATTACGATGTTTGCTTTTCTTCCAAGAGCGATATGTTAACTCTTTTCTGTACAGCTGTTCTGGTGTGCTCTTAAATGAGTTATCTTTCTTTTCCTTTTTACAGCTACAGCTTTTGCACTTAAATCTCTGTATTTTACCCCTGTTTGCATAATACTACAGAAATGTCTTTCAGGTTCAAACTGTAGAAAGCTTCCTCCATGTGTTTAGTACATGATTATATAAACCAATGTGCTCCAGTAAATGGAACAGAATGGCTTCAGGGCAGCAGAGTTGAGCCTGCTGGCACAGGATTTGCCCTTGTCCTTAATAAATTCAGGGTGGTAATTCCCCCCCACCCGGCAAGAACTGCTTTTTCCTTTGTATTCTGAGACATCCTTATTCTTTTTAAGATCTGATGGAAGTGCTTCAAGTACTTCTGGGCTTTTCTGGTTGTTGCTTACCAAGCTGTAAATGTGAAGCTATTTGGATTAGACTGGACAAGCAAACATTTCATTCAGTGATGCTGTTATTGGGGCTTTTCTGGCAGCAGTTTCAATGGTGGCATAGGGCAGAGTGCCACAACTCCAGTTACAACCCAACAACTGAACACCTTTGTGTCTTCAACATTGGCGAATGTCATCTGATTAACTGCAGCTACTTATGCTTCTACCATGTATAGCATGTTTATACCATGTGCATGGCAGCATTATTGAGGTGAATCTCCCTGTTCATCAGAGTAGGCTAACATGCTTCAGGCACTAAATACTCACAGAAATCTGTGTGCTAGAGATTGCTATTAAATTACCACTTTAATATAAACTTAATATTTTGACTTAAACCTCCTGTAATTTCATAAAGGACAAATTACTACAAACTAATTCTATTACTGAAATCTCAAAAGAACGGGAAAGAAAATGTTTAGGCTGCTGAGGGGAAAGAAAGTATGGCTGAGATAACAGCTGAGTAAAACACAGGCTTCCATACACTTTGTATTTTAAGGGTCTAGCTTTGTGTACAGCAAAGCACGTGTGGAGTGCTGATCAGAAAATACCACATTTTCACTGTTTAAAGCAGGGCGGCAATAAGCAGAGTGGCAGATGCTTTCTATTAACCCCCACCCTCCCACCAGAGGAAGGGAAAAAGGAGGAAAAGGGAGAGAGACTTACAAATTGAACATAAAAAGTTTTACTAATAATATTACTAATATTATTAATAAGAGAAATAATGCAAAATATACAAAGCCAATACTGAGTTTCTCAGAGCTGGGTGCTCGGGCACTGGTGTCCAGCCACCAGCTGCCAGGCAGCACCAGGAAATCCCGGACTGGCCTCGGCAGTAGGCAGGAGCTGGACTCAGGAATACATGGATTGGAATCTGGATCAGGTTCGCAGGCAGGACAGCGAGCAGGGTCTGCTTCAGAAGGTGGCCATGGACGAAGAGAGTGAGACCCTCGTGATCCCCCAGCTTTAAACTGAGGATGACGTGCATGGCATGGAATACCATGTTGGTCAATATTGGGTCACCTGTCCTGTCCACCCCTCCCCGTTAGTGCGACGCTTCACGACTTCTCACTTCCGGGACCGAAGAGGTCTATCGGTGACTGTGGCTGCTATAAACGATAATTATAAACAGTCCTTTTTCTGCATTCCTTTCCTACCATTAGCTCAGTAAGACTATAAATATTAGGTGTTATCAACTTTGGAGCGGACAGTGTCTGTAAAATATGCAGCCAGCTTCAGGAAAATGCAGTTACTTAGAAGAACTTAGCTGTAAGGAAGATTCACTAAAAGAGAATCGGTTCTGTTTTAACCAAAACCAGGACACACGTGAATGAGAACTTTTTTCTTCCATTTGTACAGAGATTGGAAGAAGACTGTCTTCCATAATGGTGGTTTCATAATAAAGCTGTTTATAGGTCTTCTAGCACAGTTAGGAGGATTGTCTGAGATCCATGTTCTAAGCTGAAAATGCTGGAGAAGTTCCTTTGATGTATCTTTTGACCTGATACCAGACCTCAGCCTGTAACATTAATTTTGTTGGTCTATGACGCTACAAATGATCTCTAGAATCATTATGCTGAGTGCAGTCAGCTGTATCATTGTCAGTAGAAACAAGCCTGCATTTCTTGTAGACTTGACACATCCTGGCACAGCAGTGGAGCAAACACTGCGCAGGGTGCATGTGGGTTTGAGGTGGGGAGGAAGCAGGTGTTCAATATCTAGTACAGGGATTCCTGGCCACCTCTGCGGGCCTGTTTGCAACCTTGATAAATAACTTGGGATTGGCAGGGGACAGGACTTGGCTTTAGATTAAATAATTGTCTGCTGTTTCAGAGGAATATTTGTCAATTTTAATTGTGTGGAGTAGTCCATTCATGTCCCCTTTACTAGTTAAACCAACTTTGATAAGGTGGAGTGGGATAAGAGTACACATGTGCCCCAACAAGTGGACCCATGCACGTGTGTTTAAAAATCAGGATCTGTTCTTTGTGTCTGTAATGAAGAAAGCATAGTTTTGAGTCAGAGATGCAAAAGCCAGTCTGATAAAGTTGTCCAAAAGTTTTCATGCTGTATGGGGACTTTCCCCTAGCTGGGACTGTAAAGCTTTGCTTCTTTCAAACAGGGTTGTGTAAAAGCTTCAAGGTGCTCTGTCTTCTTACAAGACTACTTTAGCTGACTGGTGTAAATCTAAATAGTAGTATATTTTATTGCTGATCTTCCAAAGCTTTTTGGCATGACTCCACATTTTAAGTTTATGAAATTGTCCATTTCTATTTTAATTAGCTGCTTGACCTCTGGTTGTACATTAAATGTATTAACTGATTCACTAGAGCAGGCAATACTCTCTTTACTGCTGTTAATGTTAACCAACAGCTCTTCGTGAAAGCAAAACCTTGGGCGTGGATCATCTTCTGTGTATTTGAGTACTCAGGCTTTAAAATAAAGCAGTTGAAATGTCAAAATCTGTATGGAAATGCTTTTGCTCTTGCCTGTCAACTTGTTATTTGGGAGGGAGACTTTTTTCCTAGGAGAATGTCTTTTTATGTGTGTGTATCTTTGAGCTGTTGTATTGCTGGGCTTCTGTCAGTTGTTCTCAAATGCCAAATTACCGTATTGGATTAAGACTTGCGTATAGTCCAGGTGCTTTTCTATCATCAGAAAGGTATCTTAGGAAACAGTTGTGAATATCGCAGATGGCTACATGAGTGTAAATCTGAAGTCATGGTGGTAGAGTAGTCCAGACTTGAATCTTTTCTGTTAATTTTCAGATAACGAGGATACACTATTCTGAATGTAACTGTCTAGAAATCCTGCTGGTTGTGTAGGAAATAAAGTATACATTAAGCAAATTATTTTCATAAAGTTGGAAATTCCCAGTAAAATACAAACTGGTAAATTAATTTTTACTCTTGTTGGTTGGTGGCTTTCTGCTCTAAGGGAAATATCCTCAGACTAGTCTAGATTATGGTATCACTTTGGATGTGTGTGTAGTCTGAAGTAGCTCGTAGACTTTCCAGCTGAAACAAGCTTGTGTAGAGATGAATTAGGACAGAATTGTAGCTGTAAATTCGAGGCAGCAGTCTTCTTTACGATAAAAAGCATTCTTGTAAACAGTATAATAATGTACTTTGAAAGAAGTCTTTGTATTGCTAACTTTAAAAAGTAGTTTTCTTAATCAGCTGACAATCTCGGACAGTATCACTATTGGGATTTGGGAAAGATTGTATTCTTGCAGTATGCTGGGTATTATTTGGAGTATATTCAGAAACACGTTTTAATTATTTTCAACAAAACGAGGTTTATTTTGTGATGCTGAGCTTTGGGCATATGTATTTAAAACAGGAATTCTTGTGGTAATAGGTTGTCCTGGGTTCGGCCAGGACAGGGTTAATTTTCACCAGAAGTCAGGAGGGAACACAGCTGGGTGGGCTGACCCAACCTGGCCAAACAGAACAGGGTGTTCCATACCATGTGCTGTCATGCTGGATTTTGGTTGGGGGCAGCTGGGTGGTGGGAAGGCAGTCGTGGCTCAGGAGCACAGTGGGTGGTGAGAGCAAGCGGCTGTGTATGTTCTGCTGTTTGTGTTGTGTATTCTCCTTACCAGTATTGTTGTTGTTCCTGTTCCCTTTGTTTGCTGTTCTATTAAACTGCCCTTATCCTGACCCACCAGTTTCTGCCTGTTTCTTTCTGTTCTCCTCCCCACCCCAGAGGGGGGAGGGGCGGCACAGTGGCCGCGTGGCCCTTTTGTTGCCGGCCACAGCCAAACTATGACATAGGTGCAGAAGAAGCAAAGATAATAGTGCAACAGTAGTTAGGTATGTGGGTCTGAGACCGGTAAGAAACCGTTCTGTCTTTTCAACAGATTATATTGGCATGTTTTTTTTGCCTAATCAGAGATTGTCATAGGAAGATTGAAGTAATGTGTTAATGTGGTGCCATTGTATAACCACCTCGCAGCTTTTATATCCTATATAGATACTATGATGCAAGTAGTACAAAGTAATCTAAAAAAGTAATTAGATTAAAATGGAAGAATAACAGATGTTGAATTTGGTATCCATTACTGGATGTGGGATAGTATTTATGAAATCACATGGTATTTTGCTCTTACTTTCTTGAAATAAACAAATGAGTGTAGTGGACTAACAAGACCATCACCAAGCACTTGCAGGTTCTCTACTCTAGCTGCTTCTTTAACTGTGTATGTATTGAAATTTTCTTGAAATTGATTATAATTATTTCTCTGAATTTTGTGTCAAATTTTAAAAAAATATCCAATTCAATTTCATAATTTTCCTGAAACTGATGATTAAACATAGCTTAATTTAAAAATATGGAACATTTTGTGTAGTCTATCAGGCAAATATGTAAACTGTATAGAGTTTAATTTATTTAAACTGTGAAAGTAATGTTTTTGATTCTTCATGTACGGT